GGCAACTTGGACATTGGCTACACCAAATGGGGGGAGGGGAGGCCTACAAAGGCAAGAAGTGACTGACTTACAAGCTTTCAAGAGGGAACCTAGAGCCAGAGGGCCTGGAGGAAGGCAGAATCTCCAGCGAGTAAGTACCCAATCTGACTAGGTGGGGCTGATGAAATGAAATGCAGATGTGTCTCTTGTGATACAATAGAGAATAATCATTATCTGGACTGATTGCGAGGGTTGGAAATGTAAAGGTAGACTTATAGCAAGGAAGGGAATGATTAACTTTCCAGTCTAGGAGCGGACGTCCTCAGGACCTTCAACGGAGAAGAGCCAAGAGCGGGACCCTACCCAGAGAAGCAGTGATGTCTGAGATGGAAGCAGAGACAATGACGTAGAGCGATGGAGCAGCTGGGGACTTTCGATCCAGAGAGGGAGAGTGACCGTGTGCTGAAGACTTGTGGGGAGTGGAGTGTAGGGGGCAGGTTTGCAGGGTATACCCTTTGGTTGGTTGATGATCATGGAGGGGATTGTAACCATGGCAATGAAACGACATAAGATAGAATGAATGTAAAATTAATGTTCTCCCATGTAAACAATCATATAATTCACAATAAAACATAAAAAAAAAAAAAGAGTTACTTACAAGAACATGCCTAACTGGCATAGAGATCTGGTTCAAGTATGTGAAAACATCCCCATTTTCTTCTGTGGCAACAAAACGGACATTAAGGATAGGAAAGTTAAAGCAAAATCCATCATCTTCCAAAGAATCCTTTGGCTTGCTAGAAAACTAATTGGAAATCCTTACTTGGAGTGTGTTGTAATGTCTGCTCTTGCCCCACTAGAAGCTGTCATGGAGCCAGCTTTGGCAGCACAGTATGAACATGATTTCGAGGTTGTACAAAGAACTGCTCTCCCGGACGAGGATGATGACCTGTAAGAGAACGAAGCTGGAGCCCAGCGTCAAAAGTCTAGTTTTATAGGCAACTGTCCTGTAAGGTCAGTGGTGCCGCGTGTTTGCCACTTTATGATATAGCAAAGTAGAACATGCACTGATCTTCAGGATGCTGAAGGAGATGAACGTAGCAGTTACAAATACCTTCATTTTTTGGACCTGCATATCTAGCTGTTGGAATGCAGTCGTTTCCTTTTTGAGTTTCAAATATATGACTGCTACACAATCGCATCACACTATTCAGCGGTGAAATCTTGTTTGTTACTGTCATTCCCTCATTCCCATTCCTTACAGATTAGAACCAGAATAAAGCTAGATTTCAAATATCAAAAACAAAACAAAACAACTTACCCTAAAAGATTTATGTTGTTGTTGTTGTTCAGTGTTGTCAAGTAGATTCCAACTCATGGTGACAATGTGTAGGGTTTCTAAGGCTTTTAAAAATCTTAGTGGGAGCAGTCAAGGCTCATCTGCCTCCCATGGAGCAGCTGGTGGGCTCGAACCTCTGACCTTATGGTTCTCAGTCCTGTATTTATACTATGGAGCCACTGAACTCCCGAAAATATTTATATTATAGCATTAATTAACAAGAAGAATTCAAAACACACATACTATAAATATAGCTGTAAAAAACATGCAGGTGGGAGGTAACAAGTCAAAACAAAAATTCTACTAGAGAGTGGTGATTTTAAAAATAAAATAACCTTATTTCCTACATTAGCTTTCAAATGAAGGAAATGTTTTTGCCCAAGACGAATTGGTGCAAATTTATAGAGAAACATTTTGTCCATGGAAAGACCCATGGGCAGATACACTCAGCACCCGAGTGTAGTACAGTATCACTCTAGACAATGCTTTTAGGCACTAGGAGACCAAGCATAAAAGGAGCAAGCATGCACTATCTAAACACTTCAGAGTATGATTTGACTTATGTTTTAAACAACTGGCATAGGGACTAGCCCTTTTTTTCAGGTGACATGCTGGAAGAGCCCTCTGAGTCCAGGGCTTGGGATCAAGGTGAGACCCTGATAACTGAACCGGAGTGTGGAACCATCCTCCCAGCAAAGGGAGTTGCAGACCTGCTTGGCTGGCATAGGACACAGCTGTGGGGCTCTACGGCCCCACCGACTGAGGCAACCTCCTGGGCTCTGCATTAGGTGCTATGACAAAAAGAAGCCAGACCATAAAAACAGGGTTTCTGGGAGAAAAGTATTGCTTTTTGTGGGGCAAGAAATTTCTGTATGTTGTCCAAGTATCAAAAATATCCCGCAGCTACTGTTGTTGCTGTGTGTCATCAAGGCGACTCTGACTCTTGGCAACGCCATGTGATGGAGGGCTAACCTATAGGGTGTGTGGTTCTAGAGACTAAAACACTGGACTGTTGTGTTGGAAACACAACATCGGCAGTCCAAACTCACCAGGTGCTCCTTGAAAACCCCCTACAGGGTCGCTACGAGTCAGAACCGACAGGACATCAGATTTTTATGGGGCAGATCAGATCACCAGGTCTTTCTCATGCATAGCTGCTGTTGTTGTTGTTAAGTGCCTTCGAGTCGGTTCCAACCCATAGCGACCCTGTACAGGGTTTCCGAGGGTATAAATCCTTAGGGGAGTAGAAAGCCTCATCTTTCTCCCGCGGAGCAGCTGGTAGTTTTGAACTGCTGACCTTATGGTTCGCAGCCCAATTCGTAACCATTACGCTACCAGAGCTCCTTATGCTAGGTGGGTTCAAATCGACAGCCTTCTGGTTAGCAGTCAAGTGCTTAGCCACCAAGTCACCAGGGATCCTTTTCAGCCAGCTAATGGAGTCCTGGTGTGGCACTGTAGTTTAAGCACCAGACTACTGAATGCAAGGTCAGAAGTTCAAATCCACCATCCACTCCTTGGAAACCCTATAAAGGGTCACTGTGAGTCAGAATCAACTTGACAGCACTTAACAACAACAACAATGGACATGAAAGTTCTCAAGCAAATAAAACACAGAAATCACAACCTTGCTTCTTGAAAACAAACACAATGGCAGGAAAACAGACAAGAAACAAGAGTCGCAATTAGCACATACCAGTTTATTCAACATAGTGCATGATTCAAAGCATCTGATGTTTCACCATCAACAAGGTTTCCAACTTCTCCAATACAAAATACCGGATACCTTGAATATAGTTCATTCAAGGTCCTAGTTCCTTTTCTGCTACATCTAGAATTCCCCGTTTAGCACACGTTTCACATTCACCCAAGGCTTTGGGAAGAGGGGGACTAGGGCTTACTGCCCCTCTGAACCAAAGGCACTTATTGTTAAAAGATAAAGCACAGTAAAGCCACCCTACAGACATTCCCGTGTCTCTGGTAGCTGAACGCCAGCATAGCATCGCTGGCCCGCGTGGGAGTCATCCTAACAATGTAAAAGACACTGGTTTCCCTGGAAAAACAAAGTGCAGTATGAATATAAAAAACTCATCACCCCCCTCTATCCTCTTCTGAAAATAATACATATAAGGACTCTTATTTTACATGATTAGTATCACCCAAGGTGCACATATGAAAAAGAAATAGTTAAAAAATAATCTGTCACAAATTCTCACTGTGAGGTCATCACAACTGACTCTGATATCATCACAGGGTTTTCTGAGTTGTAGAGAACCTAAGAAAGCATGTTGTCCATCCCGCTGATTCACAATGAGGTCACTAAAGCCCAGGGAGATCAAGAATGGGACCTGAGTGTCTAAGCCCCAGGCAGGACCTGTTAGAATGAGGGTTCCCTCTTTTAAAACATTCCCAACAATAAAACATGGCGATGATCTCAAAGGCGCACCCCCAGGAAACATGGGCACTGACAACCGTCAGGGATTTGGTCTGGAGAGGAGGTTCCTTTGGCCACTAGGCAGGTCTGGAGCCCAACACAGGGTGGTCAAAGTTCTGAGGCAAGCTGAGTGCGGGATGGACTGAGGAAGGGCTCTCCCTGGTTGTTAGCCGGTGGTGGGCAGGAGGTCTGCAGCACAGCGGAACCCAAGATTGGAAGCAGAGCTGTCCGGTGTGTTCTGACTCCTAGCAGCACAGCGATACCTATAGCAGTAGGACTGTCAGAGAGAAAAAGGAAGGTAAGTTCTCCTTGGACTCTCAGCTAAAGGCTCTAAAACAGTCAGATGAATGTGCTACTTTTTTCTTCTTTTTTTAAGTACCAACTGTAGAAGAGCTACAGAGCACTGTACAGAAGCACACATTCACCTAACGTGTATGTTGAAAAGGAAGGCATGTTCACAGTTAACCATGTTTGAGCCAACATATTTACTTTGTAAGCATGACACATACATGTTGGTATGGACATTACTTACAACACTGGAAAACTAAAACTACAACAACCAGCGGTTGCACAAGTTATGGGACCCCATGTGTGTCAGAGTAGAACTGTGCTCTGTAGGGTTTCCATTTACTGATGTTTCAGTAGTGAGTGCGTTGCTGCTATTCTTCTGTGGTACCTGAGTGGACGCCAACCTCCAACGTTCTGGTCAGCAACAAGTGCACTAACCCCATTCACACCACCCAGGAGCATTTAAAATCACATTGTCATAGGCATATTTACTAACAAAGGGAATACTCATAGTGAGATGGTAAATGAAAAAGTCAGGATACAGACCATGTGGTATCTATCATCTTAATCTAGACAATTATGTTTGCCAGGAAAAAATAAGAAGATTCAGAATACACCACAATGCTAACAGTTGTTGCCTTCCAATAATGAGGTTACAAATTCCCTACAGTAAGTATGGACATTAAATTCCCTACAAGGATATTGACATGAAAACTAAGTCATAATGATAAATGGCAATCGAGGAATCTGAAGAACAACATTAGGATACCACTTCCTATCTAGCAGATTGGCCAGTCGATCAGCCTCACATGTGGACAAGGCTGTGGGCCAACAGACACACATACACATGGCTTTTGGAGTTTGAAAAGTCACTCAAAAAATAACGATGCGTCTTTGTGATGTGTTTTGTCTCTGTGCTGTCTTTTATACCAGCAGATAATGGTGCACACATTGGGTACACAAGAGGCATGGTGCTGGGCGCTTTCATCTGGTGATTTCATCTGATTGTAACAGCTCAGAGAAGTCAGTTAAGTTACCCAAGATCACACACTTGTTAAACAAGTAGGGCTCCAGGCCAGGTGCTCTGGTTCTAGCTACGGAGCACTTACCCGCTAGCGAGAAGCTACTCTGAGGTGGTGGTGTTAATGTGCCACGGAGTCGGTTCTGACTCATAGCAACCCTGCATAGAGTTTCCAAGGCTGTAAATCTTTACGGGAGCAGAAAGTCTCATCTTTCTCCCGTGGAACAGCTGATAGTTTTGAACTGATGACCTTGAGGTTAGCAGCCCGACTTGTAACCACTACGCTACCTTACTCTCTCTGAGGGGAGGAAAACAAATCTCATGTCCTCTTACCACCTCCCCCATTACACTCATCATGTGGGCACACACACAAACATAAGTCAAAGTTTAACACACACTCCTGATGACTCTGAAGAATACACACTGGACTGCTAACCACAAGGTCAGCAGTTCAATCCCACCAGCCTCTTTGCAGGAGAAAAACAAAGATTTCTGTTCCCATAAAGATTTACAGCCTCTAAAACTCTATCCGGGGTCGCTATGAATTAGAATGAGCGTGGTTGGCTTGGGTTTTTTGGTATAACACATATCCCAGGGCCCTAAAGTTATTCACGAAATAACCACAGATTACTTGACTCAAGTACTTAAAAACTTCCAGATTCCCAAACCATGCAGGAAACCCTCATGTTCTTAGGATTGTTCTTTGATCTAAAATAACAGGATGGAAGTAAACCATTCACCCAGCGTACCTTGAGTATTAACCCAGAGTTAGCTGGTGAAACTAATGCCCCTGCCCAACAGATAGGTAAATCAGCTGCACAAAGAATCAGAATGACTCTGAGACTCAGAAAAAATAAAAATAATTTATGGGAGGAGGCAAGGAATAGGGTGATACACAAGAGGATTTTTTCTAAAAGTTCTTCTTATTCTCTTTCACAAAAGTGGAACACTTCCCATCTTCACAAAAATGATCTCTAAAGTCGGCACCAAAATTCGCTGGAGCACTCCTACCGTAAAGAGAAAGATAGAGTGCTTTGTCTTGTACAGATAGTGAAACTGTAATAACCCATTTCCTCATTCTCCCTATGGCCAGGGAAGAATATAACCCATTACCAACTCCCAGGCAGGCAGGCAGGCAGAGGTTAGAGGAATTTGAAAATGTGTTTGATGTAACAAACAAATGGATGGTATGGGGATAGCAGTCACGTGGCACATTATTTGTGAATAATTGCTATCAGGACTGACGGTGAGGGTTGGAAATGTAAAGGTAGATGTTTTGTAGCAAAAGAAGGGGAGAGTGATTGACTATGCAGTCCAGGAGTGGAGGTCCCTGGGCCCATCAAGGGAGAACAGAGGAGAATGGGACACTACCCAGAAAAGCAGTAATACCAGAGATGGAGGTAGAGACGATGATGTGGAGTGATGGAGCAGCTGGGGATTTAGACCCAGAGAGGGAGAAGGGCTGTGAGCTGACAACTGGGGGGCAGGCTTGCAGCATATACCCTTTGGTTGGTTGATGATACATGGAGGGAATTGTAACCATGGCAATGAAACAATATATGATAGGATGAATGTAAAGCTAATGTTCGCCCATGTAAACCATCACATAATTCAGAATAAAACATTAAAAAACAAAAACAAAAAAAATGGTATCTGTAATCCACTGGACTGGCAGCTCTGAAATGACTTTCAGCCAGAGCCTGGTTCTACACAGGGAGTACTTGTTCAGTGGCTGGACGCAACAGAACTGAGGTACCTGTAGAACCAAGGTCTTGTGGGTAATCCAACGCCCGTGTGCAACGAGCTATCTACGATGTAGTAAAAAGATCAAGCTCGAGGTGAAACTGAAAGTCGGATGTCGGCATTCTTTCCACAGGTGAAACAAAAACAATCAATTAAGCATTTCCACACTGCACACTGCAGGACCCATGAGGAGGCCATTGTGTGCACATGATCCTGCCCTGATGGAGAGCCCACGTTTGCAGAAGAAACAATTGTCACGCAACAGCAACAAAACATGTTAGGATTAAACAGTTATGAGATTATTCATGCACATGAAAAAACATCAGCTGTCTCCTGCAGAATCCCAGAGACTTTAGGAAGTACCTGAAATCTGAACTTGACCTGGTGAGCAGTACGTGATTATGGTAGCACTTCTTGCAAACTCAGCGTTACAACAGCCTGGAGAGCTTGTTTCAATACATATTACAAAGCCTCATACCCAGAGATTCCGATTCAGTATATGTGTGGGGGGACTAAGAATTTTCAGGAGTACAACAGGGTTGTATTCTTTCACCATACTTATTCAACCTGTATGCTGAGCACTTAAACCGAGAAGCTGGGTTCTATGAAGAAACACATGGCATCAGGACTGGAGGAAGGCTTATTAACAACCTGCGATATGCAGATGATACAACCTTTCTTGCTGAAAGTGAAGACCACTTAAAGCATATACTGATGAGGATCAAAGAGCACAGCCTTCGGTATTGATTGCATCTCAGTGTAAAGAAAACAAAAATCCTCACCACTGGACCAATAACAGCATTCTTATCAACAGGGAAAAGATTGAAGTTGTCAAGGACTTCATTCTTCTTTGATCAACTATTAACATTCACGGAAGCAGCAGTCAAGAAATCAAACGACGTATTGCATTAGACAAATCTGCTGCACAGGACCTTTTTAAAGTGTTGGAAGAGCAAAGGCGTCAGCTTGAGAACTAGGGTGTGCCTGACCCAAGCCATGGTATTTTCAATAACTTCATATGCATGGGAAAGCTGGACAGTGAATATGGAAGACCATAGAAGAATTGACGCATTTGAGATATGGTGTTGGAGCATAATATTGAAAGTGCCATGGGCTGCCAAAAGAAGCAATAGATCCATTTTGGAAGAAGTGCAGCCAGAGTGCTCCTTGGAGGCCAAG